AGCTAGCTCGGTAATTAAGCTCCGGCCCGCTTGTGGCAGCAGAGCCACCGGGCTTAATTACCGATCTAGCTCGGTAATTAAGCTCCGGCCCGGTTGCGGCAGCCAACGGGCTTAATTACCGAGCTAGCTCGGTAATTAAGCTCCGGCCCGGCTGCGGCGGCAGAGCCACCGCTCCGCCCCAGCAATATTTGACTACACTGACTGCACCCTAGAATGTAGAGATAGGCCGCCAAATGTAGGTGCAGTTCAATGTCAACAACCTCACTCCTTAATTGCTGCGCTCAGGGGGGTGTTTCGGAAATCCACAGTCTACGGTTGAGGGTTTTAGGGTAGCAGGTTCTGCGCACGAAGATCGAGAAAATCAAGATTCGGCTTGATTCAACCCTCTCCAGCACGGGTTCTGGTCCCCGGATGTTAAAGCGCTTCATTTGACTTCTCATGGGGTTTTATGGAGCCTTGTAGTGGTTTTACTATAGTCGGGCGTCTAAACATATAGAGAGACTAGAGCGCTTCGACGCCGAAGCTGCAAACAACGTCATGGAATCATAGAGCTAAGCACTCCAAGTGAAGCGCTGCACCCTAAACCCTGCACCCTAAAGCCCTGAAGCCTCACAAGCACATCAAACACAGCAAGCCGTCCAAACCCGCCAAGACCCCAGAAACCTTGGGGCTTCTTATACTATAGTTACAATAAGGAACCCCCAAAAGAGTAGGAAAAGGGTTTTGGGGCCCATTCTACTAGAATTATAGCAAGGAACCCCCCCAAAAAAACCGTAAACCCTAAACCCTAAACCCCTAAACCCTAAACCCTAAACCCTAAACCCTAAACCCTAAACCCTAAACCCTAAACCGTAAACCGTATAGGTAACTCTGCAGATGGAAGAGAGAGGGCTGGGCCCCAGGATCCCCTCAAGGCTGTGCCCAGGGACCCTATTTTCGATTAGGTAATAGTAATATTTATCTCTCTCTCCAAATAAATAAATAAAAAATATATATATATATATAGATAAATATTACTATTATCTAATCATATATATATATGTATGTATATATCTACGTGTATATATATAAATATATATATCTACGTGTATGTGACAGTGTATGTGTATGTATCTATGTATCTATGTATCTATGTATCTATGTATGTATCTATCTATCTATCTATCTATCTATCTATCTATGGACAAACGCGTTTATACATGTGTCTCAGATTCTGAAAAAATGCAGCCCGGACCGAGCCGAAAAGCCAAGAGTTTTCAGAACTCCGCTCGGAAGCTGCGTGACTAAGTGGCTCAGTGTTACTACGAGAGCTGCAGCTCCCCCTGCCGTGGAGATATGGGTAGTGGAGTTCTTTTTAAGGTTTCCTTTAAGGGATTCCTAAAAGGCTATAGTAACCCTAAACCCTAAACTCTAAACCCTAAACCCTAATAATAAGGGTGACCACAAGAACTTGAGCCCCTCTTGAATAGAGCTGCAGGCCGAGTAAGGCTCCTAAGTGTACCGAAGCGTCCAACGGAAGAGTCACAGGAGCAGCCGGTGCAGCTCACAGCCTTGCGGACGCAGGTTGGGGTGGCATTCAGAGTTGGGGTGTCCTCGGATCAATTTTCAGAGGCTTCTTGTGTTCATGTAGTACTTTGAGAGCTCTGTCAGCGTAGCAACGTCATGAAAATACAGCTAAACCCTAATCCATAAACTTTCACCCCCAATCCCTACACCCTAATCCCTAAACTCTAACCCCGAATCCCTAAACCCTAAACCCTAATCCCCCAATCCCTAAACCCTAAGCCCCATGCTCTCTGAGACTGCCCCCCTGCCAGGGCGTGCTGGGCGCGGGGGCCTTCGGCAAAGTCTTCAAGGCTCCACTCGGGGGGTCTTGCGGGAAGCAGTGGCCCCGAAACCCCGCAGCTTGAAGCCCGAAGATCTTATGGTATAGTATATGTAATATTGTGGCATGGAGTTGTAGTGTATGTTTTTATCTCATCTTGTTTATCTAAGCTTATCATACATCATCTTATCATCTTATTTTATCTTATCTTATCTTATCTTATCTTATCTTATCTTATCTTATCTTATCTTATCTTATCTTATCTTATCTTTTTGTTATATCAAGTCATATTATATGATCTCATAGTTTCTTTCATTATCTCACGTCATGCTAT